ATTCTATGATTCTATGATTCTATATTATATCTATATTTATACAGCCTATTCTACCTAATTCACTGCACAAACATGCAGCACTGTAAGTAGATAGCAAACAGATGGAATGATAAGATTCATTCTGATATGTATCATATCTGAAATCCTTTCCATTAGCTGCACTGCTGTTCTGACAGTAATGGGACTTTCTTCTCCCTTTTTATGTCATGGTTGGTTAATCGGTAAGAGAGTTAGCAGTAATGCAAAATTTCAGAGGCATACAGAGACCACCTATTACAGGCAACAGAGCTTTCATGGGGGCCTTTCTGCCCTGACTGTATAGAGAGCTAATTTGCTCAGAGTTACCCTGAGTCTAGATATCACAATTCTTGGAGAACTAGATTAGGCACCTACATAGTAGGCAGAATGATTATGGTCCATGATCCCTAACTGCAGGACTTAGAGTATGATGCTTCAGATTGCTCCCCTTCCACACCAAGTTACACTTACCAAAAAAATAGCTTATATCTCTGCAAAAATGAGGTTATCATCAGACAGAAATCTAATAAGTGCAGTCTATAAGACTAACAAGAAAGAGGTGATGATATGCATATTTTTATTAAGCTGGGCTGTGCCTTCACTATATTGAGTCATAGAATTTTCTGTTCAGGAAAAACTGGTTAGGATGGTTGTGTGACGAGGGGTAATGTATAAAAGTACCCTCAGAATAACCAAAAGCAGGAAAAAAGTCCCAAATAAAACTGATAATGTTAGTTATATGTGAATGTCTTGTTCTTCACAGTTTTCAAATGGAAGGGTTGTACTTATTCTTGGGTGTAAATCATGGATGTTAACAGAAGCTGCATATACATCAGCAATGAAATAACACTTGTATTTTTTATGTAGGCCTTGTTTATCTTTCACTGTTTCAGAAGTTCTTAATCAATTTGTTTTAGTACTGCATTGCATTTTCTTCAACTCACTAGACTGGCCATCAAAAGACATCAAAACATACTAGTAAATAATAATCATTTTAAAATGTTTCATTCCTAAAATAATTTCCCTAGTGATCATCTGAGATCTCCTTCATTATTACTCCACAGGCATTGATCCTTGTTAACAACAAAATCAGCAAAATAAGCCCGTTAGCTTTTGCTCCTCTGAAGAAACTGGAAAGACTTTACCTGTCCAAGAACAACCTGAAGGAACTCCCAGAAAACATGCCGAAGTCTCTTCAGGAGATACGGGCTCATGAGAATGAGATCTCCAAGTTGAGGAAAGCTGTCTTTAACGGACTGAATCAAGTGATTGTCTTAGGTACGAGCATGAAAAATTATAACAAAATCAACTCAGTGTTTTTTCAAGATGTTGTTTTTAGTTCAGTGATTTTATGTAGAAAGCCAAGAAATGCTCCAATAAATTGTACCTCCAAATTAGCTTTGATCTGAAGGATATACGTATCTACACTGCAGCACAGCTCACAACAATGTTTTGTTGGCAGAACTAGGCACCAATCCAATCAAGAGTTCAGGCATTGAAAACGGGGCTTTTCAGGGGATGAAGAGGCTCTCCTATATCCGTATTGCAGACACCAACATTACTAGCATCCCAAAAGGTAAGAAATTCAATTAATATTTCAGAGATTTGCACAGGTATAATATAGTGACTTCTAGTCAGCGGGACAAAAATGATTATGGAAGTCTTTTGAGTCAGTCCTTAGAGTATCCATTACTTGACTACTTCATTTTTTTGTCAACTGACTTTTACTGGTTTGGAAAATTTTGTTTTTCTATTATGAGAAGCTCCACAAGAGATGCGCTGTCAAAAGTAAACCATTTTATGTTATTTTGCTTTTCTTGTCTCATAGCTGAAATATAAGGTGGAAGAATGTTTTCACCCTCCTACCCTGGTTGGTGAGCCTGATCAACATTACACAGATGTAAACTCATGTAGAATTAGCTGAAGTTCTACAAGCATAAAATCAACCCTCCACAAGTCTGTGGGTTTGAAGCCAAAAATATTGTTCCTATACAAAACAGAAATATCTACTATTTTTAAAAGTACTTCATTGTAAACTGCTACAAAATAAGAACAACTTCAATATAACCTATTAAAAACCAAACCAAAACAAAACAAAACAAACCAGAATGGTTCCAATTCAGAGGAAATTATATTCAATTTATTCATACTTCAGCCAGCAGATTGTTTTGAAATAGCTGAAAACTTTTTGAAAGTTAATACTAGTCGTTATTTGTTTATTCCCACATTTCCTGTTTTGGATGTTCCTTTGAGGGACCTCAGATAGTTAAAATATTTGGTTCCAATTTTTTTTCCTGATAAACAGAATTTGCAAACTAGTACATGCCCTACCTAAAATAACATTAAAATTATTTTACCTCATCTTTGTAATCTCATTTTCTGCTGCTGTTATTTTTTAAATATCCAGGTGCCAAATGTTTGTAGATTTATGTATATGGATAGTCTGGCTAAAATGAAGGCTCTTTCTCTTACACTATTATATATGTCCTATTTACATAATCACGAAGGCTAGAATTCATATCTGAGAAGAATTTCATTTAGCTATTTTTTAAGAATTAACTGTTCTATGATGACCTTAGGAGCTTGTTCTTATTTCATACCAAATAAATTGTTACTAGTTGTTTTCAGTTTCCCTGATTGTGAAAGTTCTTTGTTTCATTCAGTGAATTGTTTTTGGCCATATCTAGTAAAAATCTTTTTGTTACTGTAAAAGAACCTCAGTTCTTTAAAGGACACAAATCCTTTAAAAAAGATAATATTCCAGTTTTATGAAAACAAATTTGATGGTTCTCTCTTTCAGGCCTTCCCCCATCCCTTACTGAACTTCATCTTGATGGCAACAAAATCAGCAAAATTGATGCTGAAGGTCTGTCTGGACTCACCAACTTGGCAAAGTAAGAATTCATTTATTCTTTTCACATAAAATATTAGTTGAGATTGTAACCACCACACACCCAATTAGAAAACATCATTCTGGGCTTTATGAGCATTATCGTCATTGAAGCAGTACATAACTTAGCAGGAAAAGCTTCTAAGGACTTGTGTACTGACTTAAGAGAACAAAACACTTTTTTTTTTCCCTAACAACACTTTCCAGCTGTTTTCAATTATGAGTGATGTATGCCCAAGACAACTGTTTCTTTGATTTAAAAAAAAAGAAAGAAAGATAAAGGGAGCAATTAGATTTTTTAACTGTCATGCTTCTTTCATGGTATTTCCATATTTGGTTTATGCAGTTTTCTTGGGACACTGCATTGCTCATGCAATTTGCCCTGGAAACTGAGGAAAAAAGCACATGGGAACCAAAACTGCTTGCAACAGTGTTTCCCTTGTTTCTCAAGAAAGGCAAGTCTGCAATGAGTCCAGGAACATGACCAAAAAAAAAAAAAAAAAAAAAAAAATCATACTATATAAATGAAAAAGTGTCATTTTTTTCAGAGTGATTGTACTTTGCTGATCTGTGAATATGTTGTTGAATAAGTTTCTCTAACTGTAGGAAAATGTAAGGAGAATTCCTAACAAGCAGTTTTAGACATACAGAATTATTTGTGAATTAGTTCACATTAGATAACATGCTAAAATAGTAAAACGGGCCTTTACTACAAGGTATTTTAATACTATGATACTTTAAAACTTTTGTATGAAAATAAAAGTGTAATTGACCTAAAAGACCTTTAATCAGATTACTGGATCTAATTCCTGGATCTTCATCTTAATCATTCTGCTTGTCATAATGAAGGCAGAAAACAGAAATCAAAGAAAGATTGCTGAGCAACAGGAGTTAAGTTTATCACTGTTTATAGTCGCTTGGACAGCAATTTAGTGCAATGAAGTATATAGTAACTTAACACATATTTCAAATCTGCCAATTCCAAGTGATAAAGCTTACAACAGCTTTCTAGAGCTTGTAAAATAAGACATTTCAACTCATATTTGGTGCTCTTATTTGATCACAGATTCATCCCTGCTCAAATAAAAGTCTGCTCCTGGATTTTAATGCAAAAAATAAAAATGCCATAATTATGGGTTATGAAGCAGTTACTGTTTATGATAAAGGCTTACTATAAAATGTAACATCCTCCAGAGAAATGATAAAGAAAACTTCCCAAACCAAAACAACATCATAATTACTCAAGTAGAGAGTAATTCACTTCACTGGAGGAGGGAGGTGTGGGGTGTGTCAGCTGCCCTGCAGATGACAGAGTTTTTCTGCTTTTTCACATTCACACTTGGAAAACACTATGGGCAACATCACATGAACAATATTGTTGGAAGTCCTTCTTAAGACATAAAGTTTTATGCAGCAAGGTCTGATGGACTACTAAAAATATCTAACCTTGGGCTGCTTCTATTGTGGCTGTACTGTATGGAGAAACATAACATCTGTTGATCATGGTGTGGATATGTGGAGCTGCTCAGAGCAGGCACCAAGTTTTAAACAGGTCTCTGGCCTGTGCTTAAGCAGGCAACCTAAGCATAGTCAGAAATCCTCTTTTGCAATGTTGAAAAGTAAGGCAGGATACAGATTGGCGAAAAAGAAGCGCAGACCACTCTCCTCCTGGATCATATCAACTCATGCTCAACAGTCTAATTACTGCCCTAAAGCACAGTTAGACTTTGAGAAACAAGTCATTTTTCTGACTGTGTTAAGGTGTTTTGAACTGTAAAATGTTCCACACAAGAGCTCGGTGTAGATCTACTGCTCATTCTCTTTTGAATTCTTGAGTTCTAGCAGACTGCCAATATTTGCCCTTTTTGTGTGTTTGTTTTCCCTGTAAAATTACTCTTAAGACTTTCAAAAGTCTTCATATAGTGCTGCAATGTCAAAAAAATAATTTCATGAATGTAAACCGAACAAAAACTTTGCTGGTTACATGCAGGAATGAGGTCCACAGGAGGATATACACATTACACAACTGGCGTTACTAATGTCTATATCCTATTAAAGTTTACTGAAAAGATCTAGCTCCATACAGTGGAAGTTGCATCAAGCCCAGAATAGCGATGATGTTGAGCAGCACGAAGTTTGTTAAAAAAAAGTGGAAATGGGCCAGCAGGGATGTTGGAGACAAAAGAAGGTGAAAAAAAGATGTGCTTTTGATGGTGCTCTCCAACGATTTAGAACACTCTGACTAGATCACCTAAAACACTGGAAAAATGTTACCTATTCACTAATATAAAAGGAAGTAATATGTCAATATATTAAGCAAGAGTGATTTTTCAAATTCTTCCTTTTTTTTTCCCATGGGAAAAAGAAGAGAGATGAAGACTATATTCTTTCCTAACACTCTTAATCACCCTGTATTTTACGCACTAATATTGACTTATTTCGTTTGTAAACATAGCCCCAAGTGACTGAGAGTTTGTTTGTAACACATTTAGATGAGATGTAATTACATATAATTTCACTGCTTGTGGGAGTTAGATCCACTTTTCTACAGACTCCTCCAATTTTACTCTTTCCCTAAAAGACTTTCCCTGCATGAGCTAATGCAGAGTTGGATCTTTTCCATCCCTATGATGTGTAAAGGGGTTACTTTTGCTTCAACAGACCAATATCAAAGTCAGACCTGCTTTTTTTCATGCTGGTCTTCCTAGGTGTGACACATCGTGTAGACCTGCATATGTAGTAAGCATATATTTGGATATGTGTCAACCAAAAATTTACAGCCTTCTGCCAAAATATTTTTTTTTTTTCCCAATCCTTTTAAAGGCATTCATTATGAGCACCCATCACTGAAGTCCTTTGTAGACATTCTGTAGATCTTCAGACCAAATTGCTCTGTAGGATCAAATTCCCCAAGCTTTCTTAAATCTTGATGTACTCTACTCAAAAGAAATTTTGTTCTAATAACTTTTAAATGAAAATTCTTCCTGACCAAATTCTAGCAAAGATATGGGATACTGATTTCTGAGTAAAATAAATCCCTGTTGATGTCAGTGGAAATCTCATTAAGCATTCCTTTGTCATTTAATAGTTTGACAACATTGTAGTGTTTAAATGAGTATGATATGACTATTTGTATTATATATATTACTAGTTAACAAGATCTTTCTTTGACTGTTTATTTTTAAAAGGAAAATTATAAAATGCGCTTCCATTCTTGGACAACATTATTTCTGGAAACATCTCTGCCATAAAGATCAAATAAGAATTTTTAGTTCTGTAATTTTATATTGGGTCCAGATTCTGACTTTTGAAGCTGACACAAGCCACAAAGAATTACAGATAGTAGATTACCATGAATAAGACTTCCTTTAAAAGTACTCATCCATCGCAAATAATTTTATCACAAGGATTCTAATTACCTCTATTAAATTATTCAATTAATCAATTAATATATTAATATCTTAATAAATTCTTCAATTCTTCTTCTTCTTCAGTTATTAATAAATCTCAGAGTATTTTTTCCCTCAAAATTAAAAAAGATTGCTTAAAGAACAAAGATAAAGCAAACTAGATGAAATAGGTTTAGCATTCATAGAAATAATTTTCTCAAAGGACAACACTCTGATGAGAACTCCTGCAGAATTACCACTGAATTTCTTACTGCAACGCAGAGCATTGTAACTTATGAAAATCTCTTGAAAAAATTCTGTAGTTTGGTAATTGCAAACCAAAATAGTATTAACACAGAAATAGATAGGACCAGATTTTCCAAACTGGACATAAATTGTGCTAGTAAACCCAGAATGTGGATGTATAAAGCAGGAAGGATGATTTTGTGATGAAAGCTCTGGACTGGAACCTAGGAGAAATTTGTATGTTTGCTGAACAGATCATTATGTATGACTCAGCTCCTGTTTCCAGTCTGTAACATGTCTCTAACTACATAAGTATCTTAGAAGGATGTGGTGAAGGTTTAAACTTAACAGTTCTGGTCACCCTGGGTTATGCGGTTTGTCAAAGAAAGTTACAGCCAGTGCTCCTAAAGTCATGCAAGAAACTCTTATTCAGCTTTTAAAGCAACACTGGTGTCTATGGAGGTACATAGTACATATTTAGAGTGGGATTAAGCATATAGCTCATGAAAGTATGCAGTGCCATGGGCACAAGTTGAATGATATCATAATAATTATGATATTTCACATCAGATGTCAAACTTATTTAAATATGTTTAACTAAACTAGTTCTGCATGGTGACTTTGTACCTCGTGCATAGTTCTGAAAATTAGCCTGGTCTGTTCTACAACAGTAGTGTAGAGAAATAATCAACCCAAGAAAGATGCTTATGTGGGCAAGTTTAACATATTTTTTGTTTGTTTTTTTTTCAGATTGGGCCTCAGCTTCAACAGTATTTCTTCAGTTGAAAATGGCTCTCTTAACAATGTACCTCATCTGAGAGAGCTCCATTTGAACAACAATGAACTTGTCAGAGTACCTGGTGGGCTGGGTGAACACAAATATATCCAGGTAAAGTTTATCATACTGCCTCAGAGAGCAATAGTTGAAAGATTCTGAATGGTATTTGTGTAGTTATTCAGTCTTGAACAAAAACATATACAGTATTTGTGCAAAAGGTAACTTGATGCAAGTTTCATAAACTGTTGAATAGCCATGGAAAAGTTGCATACAACAGGAAGACTCTTATTCTGATTTTTGTGTGGATGTGGCTATGGAAGTGTATAGATCTGGAGGTGTGCTTTTGTTATCTCTGTGTGTCTGAGGGGACACAATAAATATGGGATTATTTGCGTACTTTGATTTCCTCTTTACTCAAAAAACGCTTTCAAAGAACATTTCTTCTGTTGGATTTTTTTCAATTCTACTTAGTGACATTTTGCAACTTTTCCCAAGAACCTTCCCTCTTTGGTATCTCACAAAGCTGTGCCTTCAGGAGGGCAAAGACGCAATATGCATTTTTCATCAGCAGTATTTTTGAGGTCTGTGTGGCTGGATAGCTAGAAATATGGCCTCTTGGAACCAATTAAAATCTGTCTTCACTTGGACTAAGATTTTACGGGAAAGAAAGCTCCCAAAGAATGAAGACTCCCAAATGTAAATCACTGCTTTCATGTAGCTTGGGAAAATTAATCAGAAATGGTGACTCTGGAGCAAAGTAATATTCATCAGCTATTTTAAATCATCATTAGTGATTACTTTGGCTCTGAGTCCTGTACAGTTGCACTCATGAGAGTGAAAGCACTAGAGCTGGGGAGAAACCAATTAGCACCAAATACGTTCTTTATATACAGCACATGCTTCTGAACCACAGCACTGTATTAATAATTCCACATCTTTGACTCCTTTGCTGTAACTTTGGTTACAGCATGATCATATGATAGTAATGTTATCAGATTGCCTTGCACAGTTTCTGCTCTTTCTGTAGAAATTATTTCTAATTGGGTATACTCTAGGTATTTCAAAAGGTAAGCAGAATCAAGCATTTGTTTCGAAAAAAGGATATATTTTTACTCTGTTTGACATTGCACAATACATACCAAGTATTTGACATCAAATAATTTATCTTATTTGCCACGGTAGCTCTATGTCCCACTTCTGTACTTCTATGCTTTTCAGGTGGTCTATCTTCATAACAACAAAATTGCTTCAATTGGTATCAACGACTTCTGCCCTCTTGGCTACAACACCAAAAAGGCTAGCTATTCCGGTGTGAGCCTCTTCAGCAACCCTGTGCAGTACTGGGAAATCCAGCCCTCTGCTTTCCGATGCATCCATGAACGTTCTGCAGTACAGATTGGAAATTACAAATAGATGTCTAAAGATGGGGTTTGGTTGTGTTTCAGCTAAAGTACCTGTTGTAATAGGCCTGTTCAAAAAATTGTTGCTAACAATTAATGCCAAATACCAGAAACTTCACTTTAAAGTGGAGATGATCCATTGATGTAGAATAAATGAATCATTACAGATGTACAAGATCAAGCATACCATCAAAAAGAATTGCTGACTGTGCTTTAAACTGACTTATTTCAGCCTTCTTTTCCAGCATGCTTTCTGTGGTATTTTTCAGTTTGCTGAATGCTACAGGTTTTCAGATTCCACTGTATATGAGATTCGGAGTAAATATTTGTCAAGCTATGATATTAAAAAAAAAAAAAATAGTGATTGAGGTTATTTTTATAGCCACATGCAAAAAAAAATAGTAGAGGGAAAAAAGACTCTCAAATCGTCTTGAGACTTGAGAAGGTGAGAGTTACCTCCTTTAAATTTATTTCAAGCCCTGGAGGTTTAAAAATATCCACTATAACACTAAGCTAATTCTGAATGTATCTGTTTAGCAGAGGCAAATAAAGTTGTTGCTAATGTCATTATTTTGGGAAAAAATAAAATAAATTCATATTGTACACGTAGTTCTTTAAAGTTTGCCATTCTTCTAGAGCAATGCTATTCGGGATTAACCTAACATAATCCTATTGAACAAAATAATTGAGTAGTCTGCAGTACAAAACCTGTAACCTATGTCTGGAGCTCAATGACTAAATTTCTTTAAGGCAAATCCCTCTCACCTTGGTCACAAGTGTGGTTTTAATGACTTCAGCGAGACTGCCTTGCAGAGCATGGTATTAGGGTTTAGTCATTGGTATCAATCCATGTATATATCTAAACCAAAAATAATAGCAGTTCACTGTTCACTTGTTCTGCATTGTACATTTGTCAACATCCTTTACTGTTTTTGTTTTTTAAACGATTTTTTAATTGTCAAGTAGAGATATGCAGGCTCCCCATCTGATGAATTTGTGAAATTTGTGAAAAGCAAAATCATAAGTATAGCGAAATATGAAGTGAAATAACTGCAAGGCCTAGCTGGACATTGCTGGGACATCCTTCGTAGAAGTATCTTCTTAGAGTGATTTGAAGCCCTCTGCAAATTGGGATTCTTCAACCCAGACCAGTGGGTAGCAAGCACATCAAAGGTAGGCTGCACATTTCTACTGTCAATCTACAAAGCTAAACATATACTCAATAAAAATGTCACCTTAAAAGGATCTTCTGCAGCCTCTTAATACTCCAAGGTCAATCTCTCTAATTTGTAAAACTTATATGTCATTTATATTAAAGACTAATGTAATACAGGCAAACTCCAAAGTGTTTGTCTTTATTTTCTGTTTTGATAACATAATATAGTGTGTCAGATCTTTAATTATGATTAAGTCTTGAAAATTTAACATCTTTGGCATGGCGATAGCCAAAGAACAAGTTGTGTGAAATTGTCTTGCCTCAAGAAACTTTTTCATGCCTAACACTCATAGGTATTTTTTTAGAAAATGAATACATTCTCTTTACAGCTGTCATTTATTCAGGTAGTAAATAGTTGGAAACTATTATGAATCACTAAAGCCATTACACAGAAAAAGAGTGTTTGCACTCTTGTTAGCTATCTTCTTCATAAGTAGCCGATGATTTCCCTCATTTGCATTCGTGTTTTCTTCTGGGTTTCATATTTTCTGAGTGTTATTTTTAAATAAAACTAACAATACATGATATCCTTGTGTCACTGGAGGGAAAACCCTCCAGAAAATCAGCAGTTAGACTTTTTCCATTTGGTTTTTGCTTGGATATCTGCTATTATTCAGAGAGTGACTTCATGCAGAAAGCTAAGCACTAGCATTTCAATAGAGAACAAAGGCATTGTATTAGCTTGAACAACTCCACAGGGTTTGTATGTACATGGTTCAAATTAGCAGAGACAAATACAACTTACAGGAAGAGATTTATACAATATATAATAACAATTACGTATTACATAAAACTTCATGTAAACATAAACACAAATTTCCTATTTCTCCCTCCATGGCTTTAAAATCTCTCCATAGTCAGGCTTTTCTTTTAAACCAGAAGCAACTTTAAGTCCAAAGAAAGATATCTGAGCCTGGTCCTCCTCTGTAATACCCATGTCCTAGGCCAAGCTTGCTGCCCTCTGTGCTAAAGCATAAGCTGTTCCTCATAAAATACATTCTCCGCTAACAACCAAGGGCTGCAAACATAACAGGACTTTCCTGATTCCCAGTCCTTCACAATAAAACACAATAAACAAATCCTATAACATGAGACTTCAGCAAGATCATGACAAATTCAAAAGGTAAACACACTGTTGGTTTTCCATAAATTGTGCAGCCATACCTACAATGTCTGACTGACGGGACCCTATCCACACACAGCATCTGCAAAGACTTCAAAGCAGCGGGAATCCCAATGCTTTTAAAACTGCTTTTCATATAAATACAGAACAGATGGCTCTTCCACTTAAAAACAAAACAAAAAAGAAAGAAAGAAAGAAAGAAAAAGAAAGAAAGAAGAAAAGAACAAACCCAAACAAACCATAAGCAGTTGGACGGAAAGAATTACAAGAGTTAAAGTAGAAAGCCTTTAGGCCCAAAATTGCGTCTCTGATCACTCCATAAAGTATGAAGACGGCAAACAGTCACAACTGTAGGACTCAAACATATAAAGGAATAAAACCCTTATTTCCTGGCACAGCCCAGGCACCTTATCTTATCCCTTCCTGCATCCTTGGGCCACAGAGGGGTCACTGGAGGTAAGGGTGTGACCGTCTCTCGAGTGTGAGAATAGACCCTCCTAGGGAGCCTGAAACAAAACATATCCTAATAATCGGAAAACTCAGGCTGGTGGAAACAAGAGATTTGAATGAATGTGTGTGAATGAAAAGGTGTAGTGACAGATCTTCAGCTGCAAGAATAATGGAAGTATCTAACTGACATACAGAGGCTTTTTATTTCTTCCACCTAATATAAAATTATAAAAAATCTAGTTGCACTTGCTTGCCTTTGCTTTTAGACCCACTTTTCTAATAATATTTTTAAAATTCTATCTTTCTGTGATAAAGAAGACATAATAAGAAAATTAGAGACAACAGTGTATTTTCTGCCATCTTAAATTAATAATGCCTATGATTCATCACACTACTTAGGAACAGGCCTGAGTAAACATTTGGACTTTCCGTTTTCTTATTTAAAGAGCTTTTCAGAATTATGGCCAAAATTTTGATATCTAAATGTATAATTTTTCCCCTAGTCACGAACCTTATTGAAGCGTTAATTAAAGTCCCTGTAAGAGATTTTTAACTAAACAAAATAGTCCTTTCTGTTTTCTATTGCATTGACTAAATGAATTGGAAATGAAAATGGTGTCTTGAAGAAGTGATGCTTCTTTAAGTTTTTACTGCAGTTTGATGGCTATACTGTAAACTTACTCTTTTGCTTTTGTAATATCCTTTCCACTTTTTTTTTCTTTTTTTAATTAATGATATCCCTCAGGTTTAGGCTTTCCAAAAGTAGATACACATTTTTTGTTAGCAAAACTGTATATTGCTAAAGAATGTTATTTTTCAAAACCTGACTATTAGCCCCTTCATATATGCTTGTCTTTTAAGGCCAGAAGAAAGCTGGCTAGTTTCTCCTAAAGTGCACCAGGTTATGGACAGTCATCATATACTTGATTGCTGATGTATAAATGACATCAAATCTAATTTCATTTCCAGGATAGGATCAAGTCTTAAATCCCTGGCATCAATGTGCTGTTCTGCTTTCCAGGCCTATAGATTTTTTTCAGTTCCCTCCACAAACTGCTTCTCAAATCCTCTAAACACAATGTCTGGCAACAGCTCTTTGGCCCATAACCTATTTTTTTGACCTACTAGTGAACCACTCTGTTATAATCTCTTTCTGGTTATGTTTGTTACTTTTTTTTAAACAGATAGTATTATCTACCTCACAGTCATACATACAAATTAACAGAAATCTGAGAAATTGCTTTTGTTCGATGCAAGCATTAATTTCATGCATTTATAATATCATATGCAAAATAACTAGAAAAGATTACAAAAGACTTTCTGATCCCACCACTACTCTGAAGTGCCATCTAGTGTCACTGAGGGACAGTAACAAAGTTACTGTTCACTAATTGTGAAAACCAGGAGGAAAGATGTTTATAAGGCTTTATGAAAAGAGGCTCTACAAATTCACATGCTTACTCTGCTGTTTCACTTTTTTCTTTTTTCTTTTTTTTTTTTCTTTTAAGTCAGAGTGCATAGCTGTGAAATCAATAGCTTTTTTTGCACGTCCACAGTCAAATATTCTTGTTTTGCACGTGGATGTGGTTTTGCTCATCCTCTCTGAATGTACACATTGCTCTGAAGTCAGTTTTGCTACAGGGACTGGCCCATGTTTCTGTAATTTTTTTTCAAAAGAGATGGCCTTATTTTCCATGGTCATTATCAAGCTATTGCTAGGTGGTTGAGTTATTTTCCATTCCAAATTTTAAACCACCAAAGGGGTTTAGTTGGTGCTAATTTAGTTGGAATTGGTTTATTCAATAAAAAGAAAAAGAAATTAAGGAGCATGTTAGTAACAAGTTTGCACATCACTGAAGGGGAAACACGGGCTGTGAGATGTTCGATATTAAGTGCATCATCTTCAAACTGGAATAGTAGAACTAAAAATAGTTCATAAATTTTAGAATAAAACATTACCCTAACAGTGCTCCAGCAGCTCCAGCTGCAATAGAACAAAGCATCTGTGCATCTCTTGAAAAGGCACAAAAACTGTTTCAGTGTCTGAATTAAACTCAACACAAACACTCAAACAGCTAGATTTATCAATGGATACATTTAAAGTGACATAAAACAGTCTTTGGTCTCCTGCCCTGTTTCCTGCTCTGGAAGTTCAGTGCTTTCAGTGTACCATAAGTGCCTGAGGACCAGTCTGGATGCAGGCAATACGGAGGGCTGTTTACCCTGCCTGTTAAGCTCCACACTTTCCTTTCTGAGATACAAAGATGTGGTTTCTCCAAAACTGCTTTGTCAGGCTGTTCTCTTACTCAGTGTGTACATTTTGTCACTTGAAAGCTTTGGAGATTACCTCTATGTGGGTGTCTTAAGTCAGCAGACCAGAAGAATGTTAATGCTCTGTTAGTGTCTGGTTAAACTGGGGCTTAAATCTGTGGGAGAAAGAATGGACAAAACTATGAAAAATGGTATTGTTTTAATCATATATATATATGCACACATCTTTTCAGATTATAACACAATATTGAAAAAAAAAGAAATAAAGAGAACTAATAACAAAATCAGAGAATCTGCAGTGAATCTTCCAGAGAAGCAGTGATGATCATGTTTCTGAATCCACAGGTATGGCTGCAGCAAGCAACACAGTGAAGAATTTTTTGGAAAATAGCAAACATTATAGGCTTTGCATCTGCAAACATTTGCCCACATGAATAGTTCCACTGTTTTCAGTCAGAGGAACGGAAAGCTACAGATGGGCACTCAATTTTGAAGGGAAATTCAACAAAAGATGCCATCCACTGTCTAAATACAAAAGGCAGTTTTTCAACAAACAAACAAAAAACTGTCTAAACCACCTCCATCCAGAAAAGTTTCATCCAAAGAATTATCCCAGGTACTGTCTTTGGCTCACACCCAGATGGAGAAAAGGCAAATACTTGCAAATTTTGATTTCTGGTGACAAATGGCATGATATTTTGCTTATAGGAACAAATATTAATTGGTAATTTTTGTTGCTCCTAGCATTTGGCAGAATGGACAGTAGAATATGTACTGCTTTATTCTGTATAAATGGTTACAATTTACAAAACTTTCTATTTTCATATCTAACATGAAATCAAGCAAAATTCCAGGTTTTTTTTCCCCCAGCTCTTTATGTTATTGACTCAGCAGCATTGAAGTATATAATTTATGATAAATCATACTTACACTTTTTATTCATTTTCAACTAATATATTAAGCTGCATATTAAATTTGAATGAAAAAGCCTTAAGGATTTTGCTACTATTTTTGCAAACTTCAGGTTTGAACAAGTTACATTATTGCTTCCAGATGAAGACTTTAATTGAGATGAATTAGGCTAGTGCTTTTCCACACAGTAACTTTTTGAAAGTGTTCAAATCCCAATATAAAGGCATGGAAAATAGGGACCATGTGTCTGCTACTAAATGCATGTTAGAAAGCCCTTTCAACAGGAAAACTCAGAACCAATTAAGCTAATCATGTAGTATTCTGCTGATAAATCCTTTCATCTTTTAATTTCAAGGTATTGAATCTT